ACAGTTTAAACCGATTGTCAGTGTAATATGCAAATACAGCAGTGCAGGTAAATTGCTCTCATTTTCTCCAATGACTTGGCAGGATTTCTAAGATTGTACTTTTCAATTCCCTAAATTTCAAAATCAGGAGAATGTTTTCACATATATTTTTTTTTCTGCCTTAAAAGAAAAACTTTGTTTCTAAGAAAACAAGTTAGGAGAGTTTCCCTAGAACAAATGGAATTCTTGATTATTTTGATCCTTTAAAAAATTGTTCCTGTGTATTTTATAATCTCAACAGTAAGATCGCACATTTAAAACATTAGTACTAAGGAAGACAGGGGCTACTTCCTTGTCAGCCAAGCCCAAGGCCAGGCAGACTTGGGAGGCCTTTGGCTGCTCTGTCCCTCTGCAAAACAGACGGAGAGGGAGGCCAGGGCTCTTGCCTGAGGCCTTTGGGGAAGTGGCCCAGAACATTGGGGATCCTGCCGGCCTCCTCCTGGGGTCTGACTAGCTCCTCTCTCTCCTCTTTCCCTCTCAGGGCTTCCATACACCTCCATAAGGCTGGTAAGACACTACTCAAAAATGCAGCTTAGCCTGTGTCTACTTCTGTTCAGGTTTCTCACTGCAAAAGTCCAAATCCCTCCCCGCAGTGCTGGGCCTTTTTGGTCTGGTCTCTGCCCTCTCTGTCAGCCACCTGGCCTGAGTCTACCCAGTCACACTTGGCTCCAGCGACATCCCCTGTAGACCACTCCCCACGCCCCCGGGATTCTGCCCTTGCCACACACACACACACACACACACACACACACACGCAGAGGTTGTTCCTCTGCCCTTCATCTCCTCATCCACTTGGCAAGTTCTTACTGATACTTCCAAACCCTCTCCTCTGCTCCCTTCCCAGATAGGATTCCACTTATAAAATGGGGATAATAAAGTTTTAGTGTGAAATAAGAAATCAGATGGGCCAGTTCCTAAGCAGTGCATCTTGCATAGATTACAGGCGTGGCTTTGGGTGACCAGCTGGGCCCTGAGTCAGCAGCCTTGTCCATTTCTGTGTATCCTAGACAAATATTTTCTTCCACGTCACAAGGCTGGAAGGGAGTGATATATAAAAAGTGCTTCAGGCACACTGCCGTGCATGCAGTGGGCGCTCAATGAATGCAGAGCCCACCCCTTATCGATGAAGTTCCTATGCCCTTTCTGCTTGCTTCACATGCTTACAGGTGTATCTCCCTCCTTGACTGAGCCTTGAGGGCAGAGACAAAGTTTATTCATCGCTCTCATCTCTGTGGCCCATGCCTGGGATGTCAGCAGCACTCAGGGAGTGCCCGCAGCGCCCAGCTAACTTTGGGAACCAACAGAACCCAAAGACACTGATGCCTTCCATGGTCACGAAACCTGGCCTCCGATAAACCTGCAAGCCCGGGAGAAACGCGGGGTTCTCTGGTGTCAGCAATGATTTCAGGCTGCGGAAGGGAACCAAGGATGCAAGCAGACCAGGAAGCAGGGCTTCCAAAGCCCTGCATGTCCTGTGCTAGGACAAGACATGAAAGAACAGGGGACAGATGATGTGGGCCAAGGTGCAACACCTGGCGGGAGCCACCGTTAGTGCGGCCAGGGAGGGCT